CATATTCACAAATGCATAGACATAATACGTTTCCTCTTTCTGCTTTATCCTACGTGTTTTGGCCTTGGTCCTGCATGGTCAATATTATCTTATACCAAGGGTTTGGCATTCCAGGGACCTGGGCAAAGTAATCAGGGAGTCGTAAAATCACAAAAACAGTAAACGTAAAAATTTAATGTTTGGCACCTATGAAGTCAGGGGATGGCCCACGCCTGGTAGAAAACAAAACAATGAGGAGTTAAATACAAAGAAAACGAGCTGAAAATACAAAAGTAAATGAAACACCATTACCAAAGAAACTGTACTGTATCATGTACACCGTTTATGGCACCAGGGCACATTCAGCAGCCGCCAGCACAGCCGAACCAGACAGATGTCGAGGCGGGTTCCGACGGTGACCACGTAGACTGGCAATCATTGCCCGAACAAGGCAAAAGGAGATCTTCGCCCGTACAAAAGCCATCATAACCGGGAAAGGCTCACGGCGCTTTTCACACAGCTTGCTGGCAATCCTGGCGAAGAGGGCCGAAGCAGCTTTCCCCTGGCCGCCAGTGGTTGCAAAAACCACGGGAACAAACGAGGAATGCTCCACCTCCAGGACTCGCCGCTCATACTTACGCCTCTTCTCCTGCTCGTGCTTTCTGTAGACAGACGGGAGAGTAAGGTTTCGGTTGGAGGGGACAAAAGGGTTAAACACCCGAACATCAAACATTGTCCTCTCTAACCTACTCCTATACACTCCACGTGCTGCCACATCAAGACGAGCATGAGCCTCCGTGTTGGCCGACCGGAGAGGGAATGTTTCACCAGAGAGGGGTTCCAACTCTGGCTCCACGCTGACACCTGGGCAAAGGGTCGTTATAACGGATTGTATGTACTAATGGTTTATTTTGTAACCGGACCTGTAAACAGTTGTATAGACCATGTTTCGCCAGGGGATTTCAGATTTCTATTTACTAACGGGGTTTATGTACTAACCGGACTCGTTATAATGAGGGAGGACCTGTACTCGTACTTCGCTGCTTTTTGCATTGAAACCCAGTTTGTACCAGGGAGTAGTACAATACCATTGTACTACTCCCTGGTTTGTACATATAGCTCAGTTTGGCGTGACTTGTCAGTGGAATTCGGACAACGTAGCCGAACGTCTGGACCTACGTAACCATGGTGACACTGGTAGTATTGTATGAGCCCTTTAGCCCCGTGCACATTCCCGTATGCACACACTCCCGTACACATAATACATGTACATCAGGGAGTCGTACTCAAACTAGGGAGGTGACACGGCACAGAAATCCGTGTCACAGGGGTTGACTCGCACCCGTGACCCCTCGTTGTTATTTTTGGAATAGTTCAGTCCAGTCCAGTCCGAAAGGTCATACTCGGATCGACTCGCCTTCTGTACTTCACCTCCAAGCGTGCAACGCGAGACCCGCAAAGTATGATTTTTCTGTGGGGAACGATTTTGCCATTGATCAAGTTTTTATTGGAGTGCTCAGGCATACTACGATTGCTGAGACGTCCCGAGCACGCGCTTGTTCAGGTTCTCTATCTTTGACGAGCCGGTCCTACAGCCCCCTACATTGTATCTAACGACGTAGGAGCTGACAATGTAAGAGGATTTCCCTGGAAATAATGATGATGGTGGTGTGACTGCTGCAGGAAAAATGCTGGCTGTTTATGACAGTATGACTAGATGTACAATGTAGCTCTCTTGTATGGTACTTAAGGTGGGACACCACCTTCCAGGGGTCAAAAAATCAACTTTCGATTTGTCACCTTTTTGCTATTGGAAATCAAAGCATATACCCTGAGGTGTCAGTATTCCAAATTTGAAGCGATTCGGACCAACCGTTGCTGTCATATGACCGTTTGAAATTTGAAAATATTTGAAAAATTTGTACACATCGATGTTCGTACACTAAAAAGTTGAAAAAATTGTACACATCGCGATGCTCGTGCACTAAACGAGCTGTCAAGATTGTGGCCGTGGAGTTTGGGAGTTTTGAAGCGCTTTTACTTCCAAATTTTGTTGCCATGGCAGCAGTGACCCGTGCCACGTGCAAAAAAGTGCAAAAAATTCTTTCCCAAAGGACTTCTTTGCTGTTGCAGTTTCGAGCGCGATGCACAATGGGGAACAAGAAGAGCAGGTCGTGCAAGCGTCCTGCAAAGAGAAGATTCTCACTGCACGCAGCACCTGTCCAGGAAGCTGCTGAGGGAGTTTATGAAGCTGAAGCAGTGCCAGAGTCCGCCTCGAAGCGCAAGTTGTACGATGGCGTTCCAAAAATAAGAATACAGTGATCATAATAAAAAATTAATGGATTCAACTGAGCGATGGTGAGTCGGATTCGGAGGAGAGCTTTGATGGATGTACGCTGGCCTCGAACTCAGACAGTTGCTCCCTCAAGTGATTCCTCGTTCTCTGAAGACTGTCATGGCCCAATCGCTGAAAGTTGTGATTCAGACGCCACTGGACTTGAATTGTTTACGAAATTTGATTTTCTCTGCTTGCTCGTGTAAAATACTGTGGAGGTGAGCTGACCATTGCTGAAACTGCACGTTCTGGCCTTGCATCCACTGTCAGAATCACATGCTGCAATGAAGAGCCAGTGTTCAGCAGGCACCAGCCTGCCAGTGGTGGAGAAGTCAGGACAGTTTTATGAGTGCAATCGCCGCAGTGTTCTGGCATTGCGCACGCTGGGAATTGGCCATGTTGGCTGGCAAATTTTTTGCGGCCTCATGAATTTGCCCCACCTGTTCAGCTATCTGCATTCCAGCGGCACCAGCGAGCATTGTGCAAGGCGGCAAGGTCAGTTGCGCAAATCAGCATGAATGAAGCAGCAGATGAACAAGACAATGGACAGGCCTAAGCATATAACTGCTGTCACCTATGATGGTACGTGAATGAAGCGCGGGTTTTCCTCCCTACACGGTGCGTTTACGGCAATTGACTGGCAAGTCGGGAAGGTCCTTGATGTGCATCTAGCTTCCAAGTACTGCCATGGCTTCAGCTTGTGGAAAGCTCGCCAGGCGCATAGTGAAGTCACAGCTGACGAGTATGAGAAGTGGAAGTCGGGCCATATCCCTCTCTGCAACCGCACCTGGCGTTTTTGCAGAACGCCAGCTCATGTTGGATAGTATTAGAGTGGCCAAGGCTGAGAAGAAGATGAAGCAGGAGGAAAAACAGCGAAGGAAACAAAGGAGGAGGTGCAGGAAGGGAATTGAGGAGCAGATTGTGGAAGCTGAGGGTGTCACATACGAGGCTGGTGGGTTTTAGTTGGAACAATAGTCTTAGAATCTATGAAAAGGACACCTAAATGTTTGTGCTTTTTGGCCTTTTTCTGCCTTCTTGGACATGATTGCGGCTAGTGTGTTTATTTTAGACCTATCAACCCATACATTTTTGGAATCAGTGACTTGTTACGCAGGGATTGAACTACAATGGTGATCATAGGACCTTTTACATTGGATTTTGAGCTCCCACAGTGCCTTCTATTTTACGCGTTTTGCGGCTCGTCCTGTTTTGTCTCTGCATTTGGGGTAGTAATACCTGTCAGATAGAGTTCATTGTAGTTCATTCCCTGCATAGGCATATGGACTGGGTTTTGCTGCATTTTGGAACTGTCTATGTTGATACATCTTGCTGCAAAGTTGTCCAAAAAAATTGCTGTTTGTGCGCACCCGTGAAGAATTTGTGTAGCCCATCAAGCATTACTGGGATGAACTGTAAATTCTCTTTTTGGTGCCTACATTGTGGAGCAGTATATAGTGATTGAACATAGAAAATTTGAAGGCAATCTGCCAATCCGTTTTCATGATATGTCTATTTCAATTGTATGCGGTCTGATTTGGGCCGCGAATGGTGGTGTCCCCCCTTAACCCCTGCTATAAATGTGTTGTTTAGGAAGACTGGTGTATTGTGCAAGTCATAAAGAAGAAATGGGGCAGATACACGACTTACAATTTTCAAAAACCAGCTTCGTGTTATGTGTAATTTGTGTCAAAATTGTAGTATTTAGACATGACAATATCATTGGCTGTACTTCTCTAATATGGTACATAACCCCTGCAATAAATGTGTTATTTAGGCAGACTGGACCATTGTGCAAGTCATAAAGAAGAAATGGGGCAGATACACGACTTACATTTTTCAAAACCTGGCTTCGTGTTATATGTAATTTGTGTCAAAATTGTAGTATTTCAACATGACAATATCACTGGCTGTACTTCTCTTATATGGTACTTAACCCCTGCTAGAAATGTGTTGTTCAGGAAGACTGGTGTATTGTGCAAGTCATAAAGAAGAAATGGGGCAGATACACGACTTACAATTTTCAAAAACCAGCTTCGTGCTATGTGCAATTTGGGTCAATGTTCAGTATTCGGATTAACCTAGGATACGACTCTGAACAGTTCTGAACAGTTACCGTAACACTACACGCCGTCTCATAACTGCTGCTGTTGCCATCACTGCTATCAAGTAGTTCGGACATGGCAGGAGGTGAACAAATAATTAATTGCTGGTAGCCTTTCAAAGAATACTGGCGAGTGATGGGCTGTAAACGAAATGTGCTGCCTCAATAATTTCAAAAACTAGACACCCATGCGGTACGCTTGGAGGTGAAGTACAGAAGGCGAGTAGATCCGAGTATGACCTTTCGGACTGGACTGGACTGAACTATTCCAAAAATAACAACGAGGGGTCACGGGTGCGAGTCAACCCCTGTGACACGGATTTCTGTGCCGTGTCACCTCCCTATTTTGAGTACGACTCCCTGATGTACATACACATCTCCACATCCCTGTACACACGCCCATGCATGCACTTCCCGCTGACCTTTGCCCTGCTGACCTTTTGCCTCCCTTGCTGCATGCACTGCTGACCCCTTTTCCCGCTTACCCTGTCTCACTAACTGCATGCACCCCTTTTCCCGCTCACCCTATTGCCACTAACTGCATGCACCCCTTTTTCCCTCCATAACTAAGTTACTTTAGTTATACCCAGAAGGCTGCGCTTGCGCAGTGTAGTTCTCCTAGTGTGGTTCTCCTTACAGTAGTTCTTACAGTTGTTCTTCTTGTAGTCCTCCGAGTTGTCTTCTCCTTGTAATTCATTGCCCCAGTCCTCTACTTTAGTCCTCTTTGTGCTCAGTCAATATAACTATTATAATAACCTACAATTCCGTGCTGCCGTATAAAGAGTGTGATCAAGTAGTAGTAGAGTACAGTACAGTAGTTCCAGTAAGATACCCGACGGCGTAGGTGAGACAACATAGTCATTGGCGCCCAACGTGGGGCTCGAACCCACGACCCTGAGATTAAGAGCCTCATGCTCTACCGACTTTACTGCCCGACTAGCTGCCCAGCTGATGAATCTCCCACCGCTCCATTTCCCTGCGTAAGTACCCAAGCTTAAGTTTGTCCATATCGCTTCTTTCTTATTCAGCGGGTGAATTCGTATCGTTCTCTTGTTTGGGGATTGGTGTTCATTCCTTGGCAGAAAAAATTAACGAATTTATCACTATTTAAGAGTACATGAAAACCAGAGTGTGCAGCTCGAATGGGTTGCTGTCACGGCGAAATTCCGTGCGTACAAGCAGGATTCAAGCAGGTCTCTTTCTGCACAACTGCATCTCAGTTGTACGCACTACGCCATTTCCCGCCTCAGATCTGCACCAAAATGATGTAATCACGGAATTAAGCCGTGACAGACACCTATAGCAGAGAAGGCCCCAAGCTGCACACTCTGGTTTTCATCTACTCTTGCTATTAGCAAGAGTAGATAAACAAGAGTGTGCAACTCGCGGATGGGTTGGCCCACGGCGGAATTTTTTGTTGACGTAATCTTTTCGACGACGCACGCGCTGCGAGTCTTTCGGAAAGTTTTCCCTCGTGCTCTTGGCCGGGCATTACACTACAAGGTCGGTGTCCAGCACGTGCTCTCACACTGCTCTGCGGCAAACTGCGCGTTTCTCTGAAAAAAGGTGACGTCAACAAAGAATTCCGCCGTGGGTATCTGCAGCTTGTGCAGGAGAGATCCGGAGTTGCACACTCTTGTTTATCTACTCTTGCTATTAGTATTAGCCTTACTACTGCTCTTGTCCTAAGTACCTCCTTGCCTTAATTAAACCCGTACCTTGCCCTTTGTTTTTACGTGGTGTTTCCCGGGAAGTACCTTTCCCCGTGTCCTTTTCAATCTCCCGGTGCAACGTTCCTCAAATTTTCGGTTGCAAATATGACGGCCATCGTTCTCCCCGCCCTTTCTTTTGCAAAGAAAATGAAGACTTTGAGGCGTTTCTCCTTGACTTTGATATGGCATGTGATGCCAATGGGTGGATCAATAGTACTCCCCTGGCTAGACCAATTCGGCCATCCCCGGTTACCCGAGGGGAGACCACTGCAGATGGGCCACCTGAGTTATTTTCAACCCCTGATTCTGCTCGGCAGGGTGCAAACCCCTTTCTGAATACCATGTACTCTGTGCCGGAAATACCCACCCCGGTTCTCCAGTCGGAAGAGAAAGGGTACAGGCCCACCTCTAGTTGGAGGGGTGATGGTATGGCTAGTGAAGCCGAGTGGCATGATATGGCTAAAAAGACGCATAGCAAGCTGCTCCTGTTAAAACGTTCTCTTCGAGATAGCGCATCGCGCTTTTTATTAAGCTTATCCTTGGTCGAGACGAATGACTACTGCAGAGGCAGAAAATTTCGTCGGGGAATAATTTCGTCCAACTCCAAAGAAAAGGAGTTCGTCCGGTTGAAAATTTCGTCCATGGATCATAAGAGTGTATAGAAAAGCTGGGCAAATCGACATTAGTCCTACATTTAATTTAGTCCAAAAGCTCCTTGGACGAAAAAGACGAAATTAAATTCCAGACGAATATTTCTGCTTATACAGTACCATATTCTTCGCCAAGTTTTGATTGAAAGGTACATACCAGCCGAAGCTCAGTATGTCCGAAGAGCGCAGCTGCGTACTAGACACCGCCAAAATGGGGAGTCTCTGTCTACCCTGGCAGATGACATCCGCCTTTTGACGGCTCGAGCCTATCCTACAGTCCATTCATTGGAAACTGGCACCCTAACTTTTTGGTGTCTCTCTCACATAGTTGTAGATATCGTGAAAACAACAGTACATCCTGCATTGTGTGACCCGTGCAATTACTCCTTGCCACATTTGAGGCCAGAAAAGTCCAAGAACAGGGAAATAGAAATTCAGCCAGGTTTTAAAAAATTAGGACAGGTATGCCATGAGATTTAAAGTGGGTTTTTGATCCTCAATTCGGCCCAAATCCGACTTTCAAAAGCCAGCGGGCCAGTTTCCGATGAATGGACTGTAGAGCAGGTGAAATGGAACGAGATGACTACGCCATTGAGTCTTTTATCCAGGCGTTGGGGAGTCACTCCGCATGAGGGTCCGTGATAGTCAGCCTAGGACCATGCATGACGCTTTTTCGCCGAGCCCTCTATTTGGAGGCTCACTCTTTTGCGGATGCCTCTGCTAAACATGATGAGTACAAAGTTGCAGTGTCCTCTGTACGAGATGACCGCCGATGTTCTATTAAAAGCAGTGCAGATAAAGATGGACCGGACATGTTGACCCGTCTCTGTTTGGCAGTAGAGAAATTAGAAACCCGCATATGTAACTCCACCACCACTAACAGTAGAAGTAGCAATAGTGACCACCCAGACCATCAAGGGCAGTCAAAATTTACTAATCGTAAGAGTAAGTATGAGGGTACTTATGATAATCCCCCTTCTGGTCGTCCTTATGACTCCAACCCACCCCCGAGCTTTGTCCGGGGCCCCCGTTCATCAATCAATCGTGACCCTCCTCCCCGTAATTTTGACCAGGTAGACTACAAAACTATCGCTCACATATCCTTCAATGGCGGGAAGATTGGTTATGAATTTTGGTTTATGCATTACGAAGAACTAAAACAGCTCAACCAATTCAAAACTATTACTATCTTATTTACAAGTCTGAGTTTCATGGATCTTCGAAAGAAAAGTAATCCTCTAGACAAGAAAAACAGCTAGACAACAAAACTATCACTCACATACCCTCTCAGTTGATGTAGATGTGGGGAGTACCCATAGGTACAGATTTGATTATTGCCGTCTGCGGATCACGTCTGATAGAGCCATCCACCTCAACCATCACCTTGCTAACCTCCACTTTGACGACGATGAACTCGGCGGGAGAAAGTTCCAGCGGTATAGTCGACTCGATGCGATCTTATCGGAAATATGACCCGCCTCTGATCTTCGCGACCAGGGTTACGAAGTCCGGAACTGCTAGCGTCAGAGAGTTGATGTCATCTTGAATGCACTTGCTCACATGCCGCATGGGTTGCCTCGATCAGGCCGTACACGCGCCATCTCCCATCCACGAGCTGAATGATCACGTAGTCGTACTTCTCATCACATAGTCTTGTATATCTAAACCTTGGATGGAGATATTGGGGAGGTGCACCTCCCCGAGCTGACAGGATAACTTTGATGCTGATATTCTACATAGCGTCTCTATAGCTGCCAGATGGGTGAGCGGTTTCACTTGACTTGCAATTCTCGCCAATGATTAGCAGACGGCTGTCGGGCCAAACTAAAGCTGGTGAAGGTTAAATCTACTGTCGTCATGATAGTTGTTATGTTATGATACTGCTCGCGGGCAGTTCTCCATCAAGTTGATGGACGATTTGTAAGTAGTGCTCGAGATGTTTCTTTGTAAGGATGTGGACTTGTAAAGCTGTTACATCCCGCTCTAAATCGTCACTACACAGGAAAAAGAAAACAAAAAACGAAGTCCGGAACTGCAGAGAGAGTCTATGCGTTACTGGTTATGAATTGATGATCGCGCCCCTTGCAACTACAACATCACAAAGTAATATTCACTTACCAGGAACAGATGAAGAAGGATCTGCCATCACAAACATTCCTCCTGTGGTTCTTGCTTTTCAGATGATCTTGGAGGGGCTTCAGCCCTACAAAGTTACGGAGCATGATTTGCAAGAGAAATACATTTTCCTTCGAAAGATCTGCATCCACAAACATTCTTCATGTGCTTCCCGCTCCGCAGGTGATCTTGGAGGGGCTTCACCCCCACCAAAGTTACTCCGCACGATTTGCATGAGAAGTACATTATGACTTGTATGATGAGTAATATAAAATCAACAAACTAGTTTTCATTATGGGTTGTATATTCTTATCATCTAGAGGGATCTTCTAATACATTTGGAGGCGATTTCAACATCTTCGATTCATCTCCAACCCCACGCGAAGCTCCCATTGCAACTACAACATCACAACGTAATATTCACTTACCACGAACAGATGAAGAAAGATCTACCACCACAAACATTCCTCCTGTGGTGGGCACTCTTGAGATGGTCTTCCAGGGGTTTGAGGCCCACCAAAGTCACCGCACATGACTTGCACGAGAAGTACATTGTGATGAGTTGAAAGAGGCTGTTGAACTTGGCTCCAACCCATTTTATGATCGGTGATTCCGTTATCCAAACTGGGTTGATGACGTAGTATTCACTTACCAGGAACAGATGAAGAAGGATCTGCATCCACCGACATTCTTCATATGTTTCCTGCTTCGCAGGTGATCCAAAAGGGGCTTCAGCCACACCAAAGTTACGGAGCATGATTTGCAAGAGGAATTCATTTTCCTTCGATGAGTTGAAAGATGCTGTTGAACTTGGCTCCAACCCATTTTATGATCGGCGATTCCGTTATCCAAACTGGGTTGATGACGTAGTATTCACTTACCAGGAACAGATGAAGAAGGATCTGCATCCACCGACATTCTTCATATGTTTCCTGCTTCGCATTTGATCTTGGAGGGGCTTCAGCCACACCAAAGTTACGGGAGCATGATTTGCAAGAGAAATACATTTTCCTTCGATGAGTTGAAAGAGGCTGTTGAACTTGGCTCCAGCCCATTTTATGATCGGTGATTCCGTTATCCAAACTGGGTTGATGACAGTTGATGGGGTGTTCTGATGCGGGCACGCGCGCATTGGTGGCTGATGAATATGGGGAACGCACATCATGCGATGTTTCCGCGGTTTTATAAAACTTGCAGACAGTTTGCGTATGTTGTGCGTACAGATGTCAGTTGGCAGTGAGTGCAAGCTCCAACGTTAGGAGTAGTGACCTTATTTCCTTCAACTGTTTTTTTAACGAAGATTCGGCAGCTAGGGTGGGGGGGGATAAGTATTCATTTACTTATTGGAGAATCGTTCGAATGAAGCCTGAATGAATGAATAATATGGTTTTTCCTGATTGTGCTATTGTGTTTTAAGGTTGGTTGCAACATGATAGGAACGTGGACAGTTGTTTGCTGCACTGGAAAATCTCTGTACGGAGAAGAACATGCTGGCCAGCCATGTCTTGCTGAAACGACGGTAGGTATATCTATACGACGTGTGCATGCGTGCGCGCGTGTGTGTATACATGTGTGCCAGCTAGTTCGGTTGGTGGGTACACTTATGCCAGATAGTATTGGGCCTGTTGCCAACCGGCTCGGCTGCTTGAAGGTGTATTGTTGTACCTACCACCTTTGTTGATTTCAGGGTTCATATACTTTCTCTTTGATGGATACATACCTGTTAACCATGCACTGCTTCTGGCTAGATTAACTCTTGTGTAATCAATGGTGCTAGTGAAGCTTTTATCAGATCCACTCTGATTTAGCCACTCACTCTAGTAGCAAGTATTACGTTCACTGGGGGCAGGGGTACCTGCAGTTGGATCCCGGGACAGAAAACCCTGATGCCGTCAATCCTTTTGGTTTCTGCACCTTGTCCTCACCCACTTACTGAGGTGTGGTGAGCCCATAAGTGGGATCATTTTCAAGTCCACCCAGAGTTTTGGGGATTTCGGAGGGTGTCGGCCATTGGGCGGTTCAATAGCCAATAGAATGACTTGCACAAAGATTGTCTGGGTTCGAGACGGGGCAAATGGACCTTCCTCACCTTTTGAGTTCGTGACTTTCGCTTTTTGCCTGACGAACAATGGGCTAGTTTTTTGGCTAGAGAGTAGAGTTGTTTTGATTCGGCTTGTATCGTCATGCCGAAGCGCTGCTACGCTCCTGAATGCACTAGCAGACGAGAAATGGAACTGAGGCTCCCATTCCATACGTTCCTTTTCGAGCCGGCCGGCCGGGAGGCAGAAAAAATGAGGGAATATTATTTTAGTATCATTGGTGTAGGCTGCAACAAGCACGTCGTGGTCCTGAAGTGTGACTACTTTCCCGCAGTGGAAGCGAAGTCAAGCACGACGAAAGTTTGTGGACGTCTGAGAAAGAACTCGATTCCCTTTGATTCGGCTGCACTAGCTCCAGAGCGTAATTATGTCCACGCCATATCATACACAGACTGTATGGAAGAGCTCCTGAGGAGAGGCCAGGAACCTGCCGAGTCACGAGTGGCAACCCAAACCACGAAAGTGATGGGTGGAAGGACTGAGTGTGATAGCCAGATGGCCTTTAGTAATGCTTCAGGTAGTATCTGAGTTGAAGGAGAGAACAAGTGTGCTGGAGAAACGCTGCGAAGTCCTCAGGCCTGATGTGTACTTGCTACTGACTCTGAGCAGCTGTATCTAGACTTGGACTTAGGCCAGAGACCTAGTATCGTAAACCTTACTGAAGCCATATGTACCCAATGCCTGGCTCTAGTGAGAAAGCAGTTTGGCGCAGGCTCGCAAACTATGATTGAATCAGGGAGTGGTGGAAAGTCACATTATACCTCTCCATGATTAGCTGGTCATGACGATGATGCGTCTCCGGCAAGGTCTCATGGGAAAGTAACTATTACCTGCATACCTGTTTAGTTGCAACGAGGCAACGGTACCCCATGTACTGAAGACATGATTGAACTACATTTTATCTCCTCCTGGGAGAAGGTGGAATACGAGGAATACACATCATGTGGTGTTTCTGTTGATTTCCAACAACCTCCAGACAGTTCGCGTATGTTGTGTGTACATTATGCGTACTATGGAGTCCAATCCTACCAGCCCACTTCGTCAGCTCTTGCCTCCCTCTCAAGCCCCCCGACCAGCCCATGTTCGACACACTTGTCTCTCTCTCTCTCGTCCGTCTCGACATGCATAACTACCAGCTTGAGACAGGGCTACCTACCAATAGCCGGGAAAGTTGCCGTAGAGCTTTCCCCGCCTGTGCTGTCCCTGTGTGGAATGCCCTGCCACCCGCCGTCCTCAGCCAGCCACCTGACCAGAAACGGCTGCAAAGTTTCAAAGTGTCTGTCTTCCGGCACCTCCGTGCCGAGCAATGCCACTGAGCCACTCTCTCTCTCTCTCTCTATGTCTATGTCTCTCTCTCTCTCTGTCTTTCTTTCTCTGCTATTGGCACGCCTGGTTGTGATGAAGCCGAGACCCAAGGTCGGCAGAGTATCCCAGACCACGCCACCACTCCCCTTATTCATGGCGGGTTTACGTGGCTCTAGTAAAATTACATGTCTGTGCTATAATTATGATCTGAGAAGTTGTAAAAGATGTACGATGTATGCAACAGCTGCAGGTATGGGCGCGATCATCAATTCATAACCAGTAACGCATAGACTCTGTTCTTCACACATGTCATTATATCACCTTGTTTTTTGCTTTCTTTTTCCTGTGTAGTGACGATTTGGAGCAGGATTTCGCGGCGTCCACATCCTATCAAAGGATCATCTAGAGCACTACTTTAATTTCTTACTTTTTAGACGGGATCCATGGACTATAACACAATAACTTTTTTTTAGAAAACTGCCATAAAGCAGTTTTTATTGCTATAATAAAAAGTGCGGATGACCCCGGTTGGTCCATATGTTATAGTCTTTTGGCCGCTGAGTCGACTGGTTCTGGTCCGAAAAGGCTGCGAGGCAGCGTTCGGCCCTTATTCCCAATCGAACACGGTTGAGTAAGCGGTCACGTGCTCATGCGTAAACCAGTCGCCTAATCATCGTGCCTGCAGGCAACAATTTCCACATCAATGTTCAACTCAAAGGTTCACAGCAGGGAGTCGTAAGAGGCTTTTACGACTCCCTGGTTCAAAGGTTCAACTCGAGTGACATAAACGGGCCCAAACAGGCTGTAAATGAGCACGTGACCGCTTACTCAACCCTGTTCGATTGGGAGTAAGGGCCGAACGCTGCATCGCAGCCTTTTCGGACCAAAACCAGTCGTCTCAGCGGCCAAAAGATTACGACAAATGGACCAATCGCGGTCATCCACACTTTTATAAGAACGAAACGGCGTTTTTAGTGACTTTTTCCATACAAATCCCTATCTAGTAGGGCGCAGTCACCCAGTTTCGGTGGAAGTGCGCGATTTCGATTGGGAATAAAGGAGGAAAGGAGCGTCTCAGCTTCCTCGGACCAAGACCATTCGACTCAGCACCCCGAAGACTACAACTGGTGAAATTTTGATTTTAGGGTATACTTCCCCATTAAAAATTAGGCTTCAATTCTGTCGATGGCCATTCTTGACTAATGCCCACGTACATGTACGCAGCTTGAGTACATGTACATGCATGTATGCAGATATTGATGGGCAGCTTATACAGGCTGCATCCGGAAGAAGGTACAAGTAAGCAGCAGCATTCCGCCGTTGAAAATATTGCGTTTTATTAAATTGACTACACCGCCGTGACGACTGCAACGGTTTCTGCTGCATTTGTTAGAACTTGCTGGATAGCCCGAGGGTAGTTGATTATACCGTGAGTCCTAGTCGAAATTTAGGAAAGCATTTTCAAACATATGGACAAAGTCAAATCAGGTAAAAGAGAGCTAGAAATCGGGGGATGGGGGGGGGGGGAGTGAATATTATCAGTAAAGCCCTCAAGACCGACAGGAATGAAAAATTGTATTATTGTAAGCTGTAATAGACTCGGCTAAAAAGAAAAGAGAAATTGCGCAGAATTCAAAACAATGTTTGGCCGTAAGTACTATAGCATAATTCTATTCAGCCGGAGCTACAACCCGGCATAGCGGGACCACCACCAGTACCAGCACCACCAGTACCATCACCACTAGCAAACAACAACAGCTGCAATTCTTCACATTGCTGGACCAGTATCAATGGCTGGTGCTAAATAGATCGGCTCTGGCGTTCATTGTTGATTATAAAACTTGATAGTAGTATCAGATTTCTCCGGCGATACGTCTTGCCATCATGTAGACACTCTGCATCTGCTTGCCGTTGCGCGTAGCTGCCAGCAACCAATCGGGGAAGATACAGAAAGTGCACACACATACACACACAGGTGCATGCACACATATCCGCACCGGCACACACCTTGAACGTTGCCATTGCCGATGGCAATGATAGTGAAGGGACTATCTGCTAGCTTTGCACACACACACACACACACACACACATACACACATACACATACACATACACACACACACATACACACATACACATACACACATACACACATACACCTTGAAACTGCCACCTAAAGGTGGTGCAGTGCCTCAAAGAGGCAAGGAGGGCAGAGTTACTTCTTGCATTTGTGTTGAGCCAGGTACTGGAGACGTGTGAACTTCCGAGAGCAGGTCGGGCATGGGATGGTGCGGCGCTCGGAGCCAGAGCTGCATGTTCTGCGGTTGCAGTTGTGCCGGCGGTGCCCAGCTTTGCTCCGGAAACAGCGGTCACAGGTGTGGCAGTGGTAATGACATTGGCTGCAATCAGGTGGGCGAGGTGCAACAATCTCTGGAACTGGAGCGTCACCAAGACTGGGAGAGCAGCTGTGCACAGCAAATCCACCTCGGCTAGCAAACCAACGATGGCACGTTTCGCACAACACAGCACCGGCCTGTTCATGGATCGGCTTCAGTCGCTCTTCCCTGCATTTGTGCCGCCGAAGTCCGCTCTCACTGGCGAAGAGTCGCTCACAGATCGCACAACACACTGACTTGGCTGTCGTTTCAAGGCGTAAACGCCGTGCAACAATAGCATCCGAGATGGACTGGATCCACTCGCCACGTTCAGCTGCGAGGTCGTACCAACCGGTGTATAGACCGAACGCTTTGAGGTCATCGCGTACCACATCACGCCATCGACGCCTGGGGCCATGAGCAGGGCGTGGAGTATGGAGCCACGAGAACAACACTGCCTTTGGAAGCCGGTGGTCGTCCATCCTGGCAATGTGGCCAAGCCACTGTAGCCGTCGACGGGCAACCATGTCAGCAACTGGCTCTGTAGCGCACATTCTATGCAGCGAGGCAGATGACAGGTGGTCCTCCCACTGTTTGGAACGCGAGATGCCGAGAATGACACGAACGCAGCGGTTGTGGAATTGTTCAAGGCGACGTATGTCGGCACGCAACAGTGTCCAGTTCTCAGCCCCGTACAACAGCACCGACAACACACAGCATGTGTACGTGTGTTGTTTCGTCTTGGATGTTAGTGAAGTGTTCCGAAAAACTGACGAGTAGAGGCTGCCAAAGGCCTTAGATGCAGCAGCTATGCGGTTGGACACATCGGTGTGGCATCGTCCGTCTGGTGTTACCACTGAGCCGAGATATGTAAACTGGCTGACATGCTGGATGGCGTTGCCTTGTACGCTTAGCGGGGTACGGTCACTGTCGTTGATCTGATGCCCAACAGCCATGAACACTGTCTTTGCCATGTTGAGAGACAGCCCGAATGCTCCACTGACCTCCGCAAATATCTCAAGCATACGCTGAGCATCCGAGTGGCTGGGTGCAAACAAGGCTGCATCATCAGCAAACTCACCATCTGTGATGACCATATCATTACCACGCTTAGATCTCTTGAAAAGCTGACCATCGGCACAGGTACGGAGTGGAAAACCAGACACTCCACGCTCTTGGACGCGTGCGCACCAACGTTCCATCACTGCACCAGCAAACAAGTTGAAAAGGACTGGTGCCATTGTACACCCTTGGCGCAATCCGTTGCACACTGGGAAGCCTTCAGTGGGGGAACCATTAACGATGATCGTGGCTGTCATGTTGTCGTGAAAAGACTTCAGAAGGCTGACCAGTTGCTCCGGGACTCCCAGCTTCAGCAGGACAATCCACAGTGCAGCACGCGGAACAGAATCGTATGCCTTCCTCAAATCGACAAACACCAGGAATCCCTTGGATTGGTGCTCGTGACACTTCTCCACAACCTGGCGAACAACAAACGTCATGTCCGTGCAGGAGCGACCTTTCCGGAAACCACACTGTGATTCAGGCAGCACACTTTCGGCGACTTTCTGCAATCGGTTTTGCAGCAGGCGTCCGAACAGCTTGCCAATGACGTCGAGGAGTGCGATGCCACGCCAGTTGTCGCAGCTAGTGAGGTCACCCTTCTTGGGTATCGGTATTATCTCAGCATTCACCCAATCTTGCGGTACTACGCCCTCCTCCCAAACCGCGGTAATGAGCTTAAACAGATTGGCATAGAATAGGTCGCAGTTGTATTTGACCATTTCCGGTAGAATGCCGGAGCTTCCAGCAGCTTTCCCGTTCGTAAGATAGCGAAGGCAGCGCTGAGCCTCTTCAGCAGTGGGTGAGGTGGCCAGGTGTTCCATGATGTTGCGCTGCTGGACCAAGTCAATTTCAGATCGGACAAAGCCGCTTGGAAGGTTCAGCAGCTTTTCGAAATGTTCAGACCAGCGGTTCTGCTGTGCCTCAACGGACGAGCATGGTGAGCCATCAGTCTGTTTGATCAGGCACGACTTAGTGGGAATCAATCCGCGCCGGGCAGTCTGTAGATCCCGGATGCTGTTCCACACAGCCTTACACCCAAACTTCCTAGATTCGGCATCAGACGCAGTCTTACGGAACCAGTCCTCCTTAGCACTGCGTACAGCATCCCTTGCAGCTGAGCGCGCGCGGACAAACTCTCGCCGGACCAGAGGTGATGGATCTGCTAAAGATTTCTGGAATAGAGTGTTACGATGTGCAAGGAGAGGCTCGAGAGTGGCAGAACTGGCTGAGAACCAATCTGGCTGACGACGGCGACTCTTGCCAAGGACAGAGGTAGCTGCTTTAACTGTGGCGTCCCGTAGTGAACTCCATTGATCCTGAACTGAGGTCCCTGGTGCAGCGTCTTGCAGACAGTCGGATGAGGTATGGTACCACTCCGCCACAGTTGCTTGCCTTACTAAATCATCATCCTCTGATGCAGTTGGGTCAGCAGGTCCGAGCTGGGATACATCAAAGCGACGGCGATCAGGGGCCTTGCTCTTTGGCGGGTAGAAACGCCGGCGGCAACCAAGTGACAACGTTAGCCCAACAAGTTTGTGATCGGTCCCACACTCAGCAGACCGGTACACACGACAATCTGTACAGCGCTGAAAATCCCGCTGCCGGGTGATCACATAATCAATACAGTGCCAGTGCTGTGAACGTGGGTGCTGCCAGGTAACTTTATGAATGTCCTTTTTCTTGAAGTACGTATTACAGAGTCGAGAGTTGAACATGGATAGAAAGCTCAACAGTTCCTCACCAGCTTCATTCATGGTACCAACGCCATAAGGACCACGCACTTGCCTCCATGCGTCCTCTTCATGACCTGGGCTGCTGCCAACACGGGCGTTGAAGTCACCAAGTACGACGTACAAATCGCGCTCCGGGATGGATAACAGACAATCACGAAGTTCGCCATAAAATTTCTCCTTTTCATGGCGAGGCCTCGCGAACGTTGGAGCGTAGCAGGAAATGACATGCAGCGCTGAGCCACTGATCGCCGAACAACAGTTTCGCCACAACAACTCGCGAGCTGACAGCTCGCCACTGACACCCGCCGTTTTTCCACGCTCGTTGGGCCAAACCTAAA